AAAAACATTACCAGTGGTTAAAAAGCGGAGTGTCATTTACCATTTAACGAAATAGTTCGCGATTTGAAGTTATAATAATAAAATATGAATTATTCTTATTATTCTAATTATTCTTATTAATTCATTAGTATTCATTCATCTTAATATTAATTCATTAATTATTACTTACATTTTATTGAGGGAAATCTGGAATGTCTTTACAGTAATATACAAACTTGTACAATATAACAATATGCAAACTGTCTCTATGTAGGCATGCCTCAGTGTACAGCATGCAGTTACATATCTCATTTTTTATTTTTATATTCTTATCCGGAAAAAGTAGTGAAAATTTGACCTGCTAACAACTGTAAACAAAATGGCTGTTTTCTCTCTATTCGCATTTGTGTACGAACAGTGCATTTGTAATTTAAACTCTTTGCTTCAGTTCCTTAAAGGATACTGTGATTGAGGGCTTTAGCTTGAACCCTGCCCCCCCCCAACCCTCTCTCATTCACAGCTGTAATTGGCCCCGCTGGACCACCATAGGAGTCAATCACTTGCTGGTGCATACATATACACAGGCTGGCTCCATTGAGATATTTGTTCCTTAGGCAGTGCTTTCCTCTGGTCCAATCTGCTCCATTATTCATGCTGAAAAACAGCACAGTGGAAGCATCCGCAGCCACAGCTATGCCATATTTACCAGGCTGATTAGATTAAATAAGAACCCGTTAGTTGCTGCAGCACTCAGAGATCGATATGCAAGGCTGCCAGTGCCTGTACATGGGCTTAGCAGCAGCCAAACTGCATCTGACAAAGTGGAAACAAAGAAAGAAAGAAGGAAAGGATTTTGTTTTCCTCTTGGTGAGGCACTTAGGGGTGTCTACACACACACACACACACACACACACACACACACACAAACACGCGCGCACACACAACACAACTCCTCCTGAGAGGCAGCGATGAAAATTATTTTGACATTTAGTTTTACATTACTATATTGCTTGTTACATAAGAATTACAAAGTATATATTAAAAAGCAAAAAATAAATAAATAAAATAATATTTTGTAATATTATATTATAGACTATTATAGACATATATTATTAATAATAACAACTTTAATAGCACCAGTATTGTTTTAGTAACTATTATAACATTATAGTATTAATTAATATTTGGAATTAACTTTTATTTTCATATTGTCAGTTTTCATTTTAATTTTGTTGTCCTTCTAAATAATGTTGTCCTTTTTATTATTTAAAATGTATTTTTACTTCAGTTTTAGTAATATTTAGTAGTTATTTGAGTTCAGTTGCAAAAGCAGCATTTCTTTTTTGTTTAGGTTATTAAGTTTAAGTTTTTTCATCAAATTTTTATATTTTATTTTATTCCCTCTATTTCAGCAAAGAAAACAATTTTTAATAGCTTTAGTTATCAATGCGCAGCACTGCAGGCTTTTTGCTCATATAATTTTTTATGTTTTTTAATGCTAATTTCTTCTTTAGACGTTTTTCTTTAGCTGTTTTAGTTTCTGGGTTAAAGCAAATGAAAGCAATCTACTGCAGAATAAAACAATTAAAAAATATTTGTGGAATTTAAAAATGATCTCCTGTGACCTCAAATCATATTTTTGGCCACACCCACAAATAAATGACAATAATCCTTCATGTATGTTAAGAGCTGGTGCAGGTGAGTAAAGCTTTACAGCACAAAACCATTAAACACTGCTCTGTCATCAAATAAAACCTTTATAGATCTGTAACTTCTTTAAGGCCAGATGACCATAAACACACACACACACACACACACACACACACACACTCTCTCTCTCTCACTCACACACACACACACACATAATAACTTATTAATTAACAACTTAATAATTAATTTCTTTAAGGCCAGATGACCATAAACACACACACACACACACTCTCTCTCTCTCTCTCTCTCACACACACACACACACACACACACAAAACAAGTCAACAGCAATAATAAGTACAAACGTGTCTTTATTGTTTATGTGTACAGTATCATATGAAGGCTGTGTCAGCTGGCTGCTGTCAGACGCGTGATCCTCCGTGTTTCTGCTGGTAGTTGGTGTATGTCTGCAGGAGCGTCTGAGGGATTCGGGGTCTGATGGTGTTCAGAGCGCTGTCGAAGTGTCCGGCGCTCACATGTTGGGCTGTGATGTCCTCCTGCAGCGCCTGTAGAGCCGCTTCTCTGCACACGGCTGTGATCTGACACACAAACACATTCCTGCTTCAGACTCTGACACCAAACCTACTGATCTGCCTCTCAGTCGTGGCCTTCACAGGCAGCATCCGCAGCGAACCACAGCTCACTAGCGACTCAACTCATTCCAGTAGACATCCTTTTCACATTTCTCACAAGCAGAAGTCATCATAGTGGGTAAACTTCCATAGTTGTGAATGGAAACTATATATTTTTATTTGCTCCAACAACTAGTTTTCTGAAATTTCATGCCAAAGTAATATAATACATAGTATAGTGTTAAATAAATGTACACATTTTTAAATAAAAGTTCACAAATTAAGGTCCTTTGCAGAACATTACCAGTTTGTTGTATGTGCTTTTGTCCTTTTTATTATTATTATTTTTTAATATTTTTATTTTAATTAATATTTTATTTCAGTTTTAGTAATTTTAGTACTTCAATTTAAATGTTTTCTTTTTTTAATTTGAGTTAGTTGCCTAGGCAACATTTCTCATTTTTAAGTTTTTAAAGTTTGTTATATAATAAAAATATAAAAAATTACAAAAATAAATAAATAAATAAACATGTATTTAATGAAATTTCTTCATTTTTAAACGTTAAACCATCAAGCATTTATTTTGACTGAAAACCACAGACAGCCCTTAAAGATTAAATTATATTTAATTATATTATTTAAAACTAAATTGTTTATATAAAATGCAGCCTTTGCGATTTGATAATCACACTATTAATTTATTAATTTATGATGCTAAAGGGTCCATAGAGTTAACCTGATATTCTACTAACATAAAAATACAAAACACAGCAAATATTGTTATAAAGTCTGTTTTAGTTCGATTTTGACAAAATAATTACATTACATAATTACAAATTTTTATAATTACAAAACTATTTTTAACCAACCAAACCGCCTGCTTACAGCAGCAGCAGAGCGCTATCCAGAGCCAGAGCCGCATTTACACAACAGGTTTTCACACCAGAGCAGGAAGTGAGCACGCAGAGACTTCCTGTGTTCTGAGAGAACGATCAGGATTCAGAACAAGCTGAACAGTTCAGTTAGTAGTGCTGATTACTAGTTCCTCCACAAAAAGTTATATGTAAATTATAAAAAAAAATAAAAAAATATAAACAGAATAAGACGTATTACTTTTGCAATATTTCACTGTATAAATAATAATAATATTAATACGTTGATTTTACATTACAATACTAATATTTAAGGCTGTATTAATTTCTTTATTTTTAAACCATCAAACTTTTTTGACTGAAAATAACAGTGAGCCCTTAAGAAATTATATTTAATTTTACTGTTAAAAATTTAATTCTACAATTTTTTTTTACATTTGTTTTATCATAATAATGTCACAATGTAACAAAAAATGTTACTTTATACTTTATGGAAAGTATTATTACTAGTTCCTCCACAAAAAATATGTAAATTATCAAAAAAAATAAAAAAATATAAACAGAATAAGACGTATTACTTTTGCAATATTTCACTGTATAAATAATAATAATATTAATACGTTGATTTTACATTACAATACTAATATTTAAGGCTGTATTAATTTCTTTATTTTTAAACCATCAAACTTTTTTGACTGAAAATAACAGTGAGCCCTTAAGAAATGATATTTAATTTTACTGTTAAAAATTTAATTCTACAATTTTTTTTTACATTTGTTTTATCATAATAATGTCACAATGTAACAAAAAATGTTACTTTATACTTTATGGAAAGTATTAGTTTTTTCTTTCTTGATTTTTTTATAAAGTATTTTATATCATACAACAGTGGTTAAAATGCTACAAAAAAAAAAACAGTGTAAACAGAATATTTTGCCCCTCAACAACTGTTTTTTATTAAAGAAAATTAGGTACTTAAAACTTTTGGAATCACAAAAATAATTGTTTATTTTAATATACTGACACTTTCAGTTTGCAGACATTGTTATTTTAGTATCATTAAGATACTATTATAGTTTTTAATCCGTATTTTGAATTAGTTTTTATTTTTATATTTTCTGTTTTCATTTTAATTTTAGTTAAAGTTTTAATAATTTGGTGGTGTGTCTGTCATTTTTATTATTATTTTTTAATTAATTTTTATTCCTGTTTTAGTTATTTTAGTACATCGTTGAACTAAAAGAAAATGAGATATTGTTTTGGCAGCTAGCTGAAAGTTTTATTTTATTTCAGTTAGTGTTTATTTGTAATGGTTTCAGTTTTAGATTTAGTTAACGATAATAACCCTGGTCCTCTGATACGTAAATGACTAAACACCTATCCAAATAATCCAAAATATTGATATTATTTATTTAATAAATGTAATAAACCACAAACATTTTTATGATTCCAAAAGTTTCCCCCCAAAAAAGTTGATGTTACACCTTGATTTTATGAGTTGTTTAATCACTGTTATATGATACTGTAATACAATAATTTCCATAAAGTATAAAGTAACATGTTTTTGTTACATTGTGATTTATTTATTTTTAATGACAATTAAACTCATTCCAGCCCCAAATTGTCATTACTGTACTGTGAAACTGTAATAAATACTGGTTTATATGATATATTACATGTCCTTTAGATGCTTCACAGCTTCTGCTCACTGTATGTTGTATAAAGACCACATGAGTTTGAGGAAATTATGTCAGAACGATCATTTGTCTGGTGAATTAATACAGTGCTACACTTCACCACACAATTTTACCACAAATGTACAATTAATTGCAAACAAAGCCCCATAATTCCCTGCAGCTCAGCTGGAGTGCTGTCGTTTGTGTTGTCGAGGCTGATCACACATGCTGTAAACATCACATTACCCAGAAACCCCTGCTCTCACCAATCACAACACCAAATAAACGCTTGACGAGATCCGCTGCAGAACTTAACACACACAACTACTGCAACACGCAAACTATCAAGAGTGTGAGTGTGTGTGTGTGTGTGTGTGTGTGTGTGAGTGTGTAACAGCAGCACTGTATGAGTTCAGCACAGTGTTTGTACATGAAGTACGTTCAGTTAATATCAGCAGACAGATGTGATCGTGTTAAACTGTAAATAAACACGACTGAAAGAGAGAACGACACGCTTACACTCATCTGAATAACGGGTGAAGACATACACACACTCACACAGTCATACGCACACACACACACACACACACACACACACACACACACACACACACACACACACACACACTGCAGCATCTGCTGAGTCACAGTGAGAGCGGACACAAACACACACAATAGAGCGTCTGTGCAGGAGCTCAGAGTCCCACGGACTTTAGAGAAACAGCATCACGCTCTCGTGTAAACAGTGTGAAAACACTTCAGCAAATGATAGTGTGACCTCTGACCCCTGCAGCTGCAGTGACCTCTCACCTCTGCCCCCGAGTAGCGCTCTGTCCGGGTCACCAGGTCCTCCAGGTGCACGCTGGGATGGATGGGCATGCTCCGGAGCTGCAGCGTGAAGATCTCCCTGCGAGTGTCTGCATCCGGCAGCGGGACGAATATGATGCGGTCCAGACGCCCCGGACGCATCAGAGCCTGAGACACACACACAGACACACGAGCAATATGAATTCTGCTCACCACGGCTGCATTTATTCAATCAAAAATACAGTAAAAATTCGCTTTTTTTCCCCATGTTAAAGTAAAATCATTAAAAAGAATTGTGTTAATTGAAATAAATCTGACATAAAATATAAATATGTTTATAATAAAACTTACTAAAAACACTAAAAATGAAAATTAGAAATCAAATAAATTAAGTTAAAATACTAAAATTACTAAAACTAAAAGAATATAAATTAAAACTACATTTAAAAACGTAAAAAAAACAAAAAACAGAAAAAAGTCAAAATTTAAGCTTAAATAAAAATGAAACTGAAAATATTAAAAACTATTTATCTAATTAAACATATTTATAAATACTATAGTAGTAAATAAATAACAGTAAAATATCACTGGAAACGAGGCATCAAAACATTATACTATACAGTAGAAAAACTATTTAATAGTAACTTGTCTAAAATAGTATACATGTTTGAACTGGAGATAATAAACAGAACTGATATTATCTTCCAGGCCGATATGATAAATTAAAAATCGCTCATTATGGCCGATAATGATATGCTCTGGATATATGGTGCAGCTCGATTTGTTTGTGCAGTAAAACCTCCTGAGAGGAAGTTTAACAGCAGTTACACACACAACAGATGATGAGGAACAGACCAAAACAGCAGCTGAACTCGTCTGATAGAGAAACAACACACTGAACCAACAGAGAGCAGCCAGACAGAGAAAACAACTCCAGGAAGTCATCGCTGCACGTCTGTGACCCTGCAGCACAACTGGTTCGATCCGCAGCACATTGCTTCCTTATATCCTCAGGAAGAGACCAAACACGGCGCGGGGAGAAGATTGAATGTGTGTGTGTGTGTGTGTGTGTGTGTGTTATGTGTGAGTTGTGTGTGTGTC